TATCGCGATACTGCCAGCTATTCCGTCCATTCCGCAAAAGAAGCAGACGTTCGTTCGTTCGTTCGTTCGTTCGTTGAATACACTTTATTGCTGATAGTTCATGCGGAACCCACTTTCTTAACCTTCATACCTTTCCAATTTATTATGACCAACGATGAATAGCGTTACTGATTGAATCGAGTCTTTCAATTATTTCGTCCATCGTCAAACTTGTGATTCGAGCAGAATCCGGCTCGTCAATAAAAAAAAATAAATAAATAAACACTCCCGTTTCATAATAATAATTATTGATAGAAATTTCATAACGCCCAGTTTATGAGACAGAAGTTTTTAGATTTTTCTTTTCAAACACTCGCATAAGCTAGATAGCTTGATTTTCTAGGATGAGAATAAACATTCCTGAGAGATCTTTGCCACCGAAGTTGTCTTTATAAGAAAATCCATTACATATGCATACGATCAATTAGTTTGCTCAGTCATATTTTATTACACAAAAAGAGAAATGATTGCTTTTCGATCAAGAGATGACCCAATTAGCAGGTTAATGCGATGGTAATCGTTCAACCTGTTGCTCAAATGTTTAACCTGCAGCTTTCGTCATTCTATCAATCGAAATAATAATAAAATGTACAAAAATTTTCAATTGAAGTATTTTATTCATTTGTCCTAGATCATCGCTAAAGTATTACGTATATTTGTGGCTCTCTCCATGGTCCGTCGTCCGAGGATTGATAATGAAAATAATAATAATAACTTTATATTTAAATAGAGTTTTATAAGATTCAAGAATTTCTCGATGAAAATCATCGGTATTCCCATCGATACGATCTCCCTTAAAAAGCAGTTAATCCTTTCTCGTTATAAAAAAGAAATGAAATAATCCAATCTCAATCAAGCTGATCCACGCATTTCCGCGTACGCCGCGCCGGTCGAACAGGTAACCTCAGTGCCTGGAAATCGATTCTGAAATCGAGACCACGTCATCGTGGACGATGAAACCCGGTAATTTGCACGTTTCGAGAGTGTGCCCAGCTGGTGAACGCGATTTCGTGGCGTTTCCAAGGAAATCGACGCCGGATACGTGACACACTGAATTATCTCTTCACGCTGGATCCCTGTCGAAAAAGGTTGCCTTGCAATTACTCGTGATATCCGGTTTGATATTCGAATATAGCCTCTGACCCCATTACCAAACTCCTTTTTTCCGACACTTTACGCGTGCCTCTTCGAAATCCACTCAATCTTCGTCGAAAGAAGAGTGACATCCCGTTTATGGCCGTTTTCAGTTCGTTTTCGTGGTTCATTGGCATACTTGAAGCCGATGGAAGGAGATATTTATTCATTTATTCAGATGAGATTATTCTTATTCCTGGTGGAAGGTGTAAGGAGTAAAGTGGTTCTTGAATTTCATAAATCATACTTCGTTTCTTCCACATCTGGTAAATATCACAGTTACGTACGCATTCGAGCAACAAATTAAATACTACCAGTGTACATTTTAGGCGCAATTAATCAATTAGTCGAACAGAAATGTTAGAAGAGTGGATAAAAACATAGATACTGGGGACGTGTAAAAATCAACTGCCTACGATCTTTCACGAACGAGTATTATTTATTGCAGCAACAGCAAACGGAAGATTGGTCTGCTGGTAACTCAGCAACTCAGCTAAATGTCAAGGATAGTTTGAATTATTCTTTTCCTTTTTGCGTCGCAGCATAGCGAACGATTAAACTTTTCTATAGTACGAACCCTGATACCGTCGATGAATAACTGTTTATTTTTTATTTATAAACTGTGTCCATATTAACATACATAGAAAAATGAATGAGTGATTCAAGGATTAATTAACACTTTTGCCATTTTCTCAAAGAAAACCTACCGTGCCATGTATCAAATAATTTCGGTAATCAAATGTTCCTTGCACCATTTTTCTTCCACGAAGTCGAAGTCGAAGTGATTTGCGCAATTCGCGATCTAGTTCCGACACGATGGTAGAAAAGCGGAGCAGTAACGACCGGAGAGGTAAAGTTTGAGCAACAAAGGCCCAAGGCAAAGCCTCGGTCGAATCGTGAAGTTCGACGATCTCGCAACGATTTCACGAGACAAGAAAGCTGACCAGTCGGTCCAAGAACCGAGGCAGCCACCGAATCGATTAACCAGAATCGATGAACGCTACCTTTTCCACGAATTCGTGTCTTTTTTTGCTTTTGCGACCCCTCGATCGACACCTGCTGTCATTTTCTTTAAACAGGATCCTGTGCATTGAACTTCCTGTTTCTTATTTTAAACCTTCTGCATATCTTTGAATTTTTTCACGTAATCACGTTTCTTATAATTGAAGTTATTCATCATTTAAATGATCGAAGTGATTTATGTCCATTTTATATTTCTTATCTTGGCGCACGTTCCGACTAATGTATATCATTTTTAACAAAGCAGCAATCGTTGATATGTATGCGAATAAATCATTCGTTTCATTTGCTACAACCTGATAATTACATTTCTTAGTTCCTCAAACAGATCACATCCTTAAACAAATTGATACCCTCACAATAAAATTTCCAACGGTGTTTCTCGTTATTGGTACATCAACGGGACATTTTCAACGAGCAATTCTAATTGCGTTGAAATTAAACAGAAATCCAAAGCAACTTGTGTAATAAAGGTAGAACGATCGTGCAACATGATGATCATTACGCTGACATTTCTCTAGCTCAAATTAATGAGGCAGAGACAGTTTTGCGCGTGTGTTGCGTGTGATAAATTGCCAGGAATATTAAAGACGCAACGCATTGTGACTGGTTGGTAAATGCATAGAAACAATTCAAAATACAATATGTTCACTTCTGATCCTTCTTACGCGTTGATTTAAACGTTGTAATTTGTTCCAGTTCCAATTAAGAAGCGAGCTCTATGGCGTGGAGTTAATTAGCTTTGACGAAGGAATTTTAATGACAGAAAATCGTGGATCTACCGAATGAGAGTCAACGTACTGTTGAATTTAATTTTAATAAGGTTTCGTAGAAATATATGTATTTAAACAAAAAAAGAAAAAAAAAAACTAATTTTCTTCCGATTTAACGTCACAATTATTAGCATCGATCGTTCGTCTGCTCTACTAGAAAAATAGGTCAACAATTTCCACTTCCAAATCCTTCGGATTACGCAAACACCTCCGGGAGCTGACGAGACATTAATCATAAACATAGATCGCTGTTTAACGCTCTGTGCTCGCGAACGTAACAATGACAACGGGTATCATGAAAGAAAAGGTTGCCGATTCTCGGCAGGGTCGATCCTCTGTTAGATAGAAGGATGATTGATGGTGGACGTCGAGTGTGAAACAAGTTCAAATTCAGTAGGACGACGGCTTAAATAACGAAAGAAACGTTTGGAGAAAGTAATCTCTTTTCAATATCCGGCTATCGATCTACTTCGAAGCCAATCGATTGTTGCCGGTTCTAATGCTTCCGTACGTGGCCACGGATAAAGATCTACTTTCGCCATCTACGTTAACGGGATAACTCTTTTTGTCGTCAGAATGAAGTACAAAAGTAGCGTTAGAAAAATGGATTAAAATGGCTGGAAAGGGTTAAAACCATAAAAAATAATTTTCAAACGGGTCATTCTTAGTCCACGAGCCGCAGTTGACCGATGATCTGATCTAGTGCACTGCGATTGCAGGACTCGGTTTCGCAACGCGGATCGTTCCGTCGTCGGACATCCGGGTGCCGGGAACACCGCGAGTTGCAACCGGCCCTCGATCAATTGTTATACACCGTCGCTGGCATTTAGCCATCGTACGCGAAGCGTGCCTTGTGTTTCCACCGTGTATATGTGTATATGTGTATATGTATATATATATATATATATATATATAGCTACATTAATTTGCTACAGTGCGTTGTAGCAGCAGAGCTCGCGGAAAAGAAGTTGCGCAAGAAGGCTGCTGTTGCTTATGCCTCCATACCGATGCTGCGGCAATATGCACGTACACGTAGCGTTGCTGTGTTAAATCACCGCTCTATATGTCTTTCTCTCTTGTTCTCACTGTGTACAAGTATACATCCGTTTCTTTCTACTTTAGAGATTTAGCCTTCGATCTCTCTGTCTTCTGGTTGATCGTTGTACCGGCTAGCCGACTCGATGGCTGGCCTGGCTATACTGAATTTATACACGACCACAGTGCGTTCCCACGCCTAGAGCATGCGAGAAAGCCCTGTCTGCTCTTCGGCCTAATGCCCGGCTGTGTACCGATCCTATTCCGCTGGCCCGTCGCCTAAGAAAACGCTGGAAAATCTGGGACACGGCGTCGCGGTATGCGCCATTGTCCACGGGCTTAACACGCCGGGCTCGATCTCTGCGAATCGTCACTTTTGCTACTTCGCTGTGTTCGCTTAGATTTCATTAGGTGGTCTGCATTTTTTTTTTTGCTTGGATGATTGGAGTTTTGAGCTGAGATACTTAGACAGTGAGAGAGAATGAGTCATGTTTTAATTATTTAAGACAGGCATGGTTATTTTATTTCATTCCAGATTTCACATTTTTCATTGATTCTTTTATAATCGACTTTTAACCGATACCTGTATCAATTAAAACACTCGGTGATTGCGGTGCAATAAATACTAGAGAAAGTTTCGATGACGTCCTAATGGTTTTCAGGCAATTTCCCAGTGTTTATTGAATGAGAAAGTGAACTTTATTTTGTGATATATCGGTCGTTACGTGGACGATGCTGAGTCAGGCTTAAGTGACCCTTTCACGACGAAAATAGTAATTTTAGAAAATGATCTGTTCGATAAATGGACGGACTGTAATAATAACAATTTCTAATAACACGATGTAAATAGTAATAAGGTAGTGTAATAATAGATAATCCCCAGTTTGCTAGTTGATGCAAGATTTCCACCTTTACACGTGCTTTTAAAATAATTGATACGTACTTTGAGAAAACATCGCGATCAAATTATTCACCAGAGTTTCGATCTCGTTTTTCCAGGTCCTTCCCCGAATTGAAGGATGCGGTGGGTGCGGAGGCACGCCAGTCACCATCACTGAACATCATTCCTTTATCATCGTCTGAAAAATACTGCCGGCCGATTAATCGGTAGCCGAGTTGATAAAACGAGGAGCAACCACGAGGACGAAACAGTTAAACGACTCGATGGATCTTACGGAGGCATTCGCCCCGGGCGGGGGTGGGGAGGATCTGCCAAAGACCGACTACTTCGACTTTGTCGTCTCTCCGCCTCCGCACTGCGCGTCCGCGGACGGTGTATCCGACGAGGAGAGCTTTCTTCATCGTACAACTTGCAGAAGCATCGGATACCTTCAACCGAGTCACGAGGAGCACGAAACGAACCGTGAACTCCATGGCTCGCCATTTATCAAAGAAACCAACAACAACACTCTAACAGCCCTGCCACCAGTTTCGACCATCACCGGTTCCCTCAGTCATCACCATCACCATCATCACGTCAGGACGCATCACAGTGCTTGCAACGTGCAACAGAATAACGAGCAGACCCCGATGGACCAGTCGGACTGCGACTACTGGGGCACCGACGAGACCAAGGAACAAACCTGTAACATACTCCTGGAGGACCTAAACAAGTACTGTTGGTCGGCCAACGCTCAGAACCACGGCAACGACAGCGTCACCGTCCATCAGGCTTCCAACGAGCATCATCAAGCGGTGGCTCGAGGATGTTCCACCAACGACAGACAGAATACGGACGGTGCCATCTACACGTTGACCGTGTTGAACAACGAAGCAAACTCCATGGACGCCCTGGACTGCTGCAAGAGTCCAGCCCCAACCTCCAGCGACTCCTGGTCCCTGCGACCTAATCTGGACCTGGACGCGATACTCAGCATGGAGCCCGTCTCCGCGGACCAGGAACACGATCAGACCGCAAGCGTGACCGAAGTGTCGCGAACGGTCAACGACAGGTTTCATCCTGACCGTTTCTCCGTCGCTTCTTCTCAGTACGCCACAGACGACAGTGGCTTCGTCGAGAGCAAGGAACTGTGCGGCAGGGGATCCTCCGCGGGAGCCAACTGCACAAGCGGCGACAACAATAACGATTGGAAGCTGTCTGACCAGAACCTGCAGGAAGCCGCAGCAGCAGCAGCAGCAGCCGCGGCTGCAGTCGCAGTTGGCGCGGGTGACTCTGCGGAGAGTCTCTTAAGAAGCGCCCTTCAAGGTAAGCTCTACACCGGCCCGACTCAAGTGGTCTCATCCTCGTCGCCATCTACACAAGGCTCCACCATATCCTTACCAGTGACGAGCAACGCTGGCCTGCAAATAGTCTCCGACCAACAGCAACAACAGCAACAGCAACAACAACAGCAGCAGCAGCAGCAGCAGCAACAACAACAACAGGACGAATCCATGCACACGTGTACCGATGAAGATCTATTACTTTCGCAATTGGACCAAACGACCTATCGCCCTGGCGATTACGAGAAACTGAAGAGCATAGCCAACGAAGTGGTCGAATCCTACTGCAGTCTCGAACCAGTCTGTAACGTCTCGGCAACGACCACCGTGATGTATACACTGGACCCAACGAGTGGAAGCTTAGGAACCATCACTCTTCCAGCAGACCTGGGTCAGGTTAGCACGGTCACGGTGGTCACAGCGGCCCAGCAAGACGTTCTTCAGCAACAGACTGCTCCTAGAGCCGAAGTGGAACAACAACAACAACAGTCGACCAATCAGATCCAAATAGCACCATCCAGAGTGGTGACCACGAAGGCACCCAAAAAGTACTGTCGAAGAGCCAACAGGAACAGCAACAGCTCGAACGCGGCCAGCAACGGCAGCAGTGGTTCGGAAACTGGTGGTACCACGAGTGGTCAGCAACAAGGCACTTCCGGCGGCTCTCCTGGCAGTGTCCAGCGCAAAGAACGCTCGTTGCATTATTGCAGCATCTGCAGCAAAGGCTTCAAAGACAAGTATAGCGTGAACGTCCACATTAGAACGCACACCGGCGAGAAACCATTCGCTTGCTCCTTATGCGGCAAAAGTTTCCGGCAGAAGGCGCACCTGGCGAAGCACTACCAGACCCATGTTACCCAGAAACCCAGCGTCCAGCAACAGGCGAGTGGAAACAGCGCCAGCAACAGCGGGAACAGCGGGAACCCCAGTCCCTCTGGGGAAACGGGTACCACTACCACCAGCAACGTGACGAACAGGAGTCAGACCCATCAGGTGTCGGTCGATCCAGCGGGGAACGCCTGTAATCCACCCAGTTAGTCGCTCTAGGAAGATTACGTCCGCCGATTGATCGTCTTCAGCGTCGGGTTTGACGCTTTCGATCGTACCGTCTGCTTTATTCTTTCTTCTAATTCAACTCTTCGACTCTTTGATTCTATATTCTTGGCCGGTGATCGAATTCTTCGTCCACTGCCACTAGCTGATCTACGATGGTCGAGGTCGATGAACCTTGACGGCGAACCATGACCGACGAAGTTCGCGAGATGCATGGACTAATTATCTCGGGATTTCGTTTTAGACAGAGTATTAACGGCGAACCGTTTTTTTGACGAGTTCGTTGATATTTATTCGAGCTGTATACACGATGACGCTTGCGAAGTAGAAGAGTAAGCGTTCGTCGTGAAACGCTCACTGAACACGTTCCGTCCAACGCTTTCCACGGCGTTTTTAATCGTCACAGTATTCTGTAAGAATTACAGAAAGCCGTCCTTAGAATCGAGTTGCGAATTTATCCGCGGGAAGGAGCGAGCTTCAGATAACTACCAGGCCTGTTCAGCTGAGATTGGTTAAAGGAGGTGAAAACTGATATCGCCACGCTCGTCAACACACCGTCGATAAATTTACGATGATAAGTTAAGTGAAATAGGCGAGCACAGATCGCCCTTTATTTTTCTATTCTTGTAATTAATTGTCTTCCGTTCAGGATCAATCGATCGTTCAAGGTTATCGTTTCTAAGAGTTTCTTAGACGTATCGATGTTTGAGATTTATAAGGGACGTTAATCTTCAAATTTTAATGAAACTTTGATGTGATGTAGGCTAAAGAAATATTTCATACGTATTCTTTTATGGTCAAGGATCATACTAGAGGGATGAAAAGAACCCTTCAAATTTTTAGATATTGACTTTATCTGAAATATTTTTTAAAACTTCTATTTTCTTTCCATATTTGATCTCTATGATAATTTTATTTTACCATAAATAATTTTCAAAATATTTTTCAGCAAAGTGATTAACGTTTCTTGTTGGATCATGGATCCAGAGTGTTACCAATGGCGTTATTAAGGGATAATAAATTTATTTTATATCAAGCTTGATCGATCAATTGATTTTAAACGAACCGTAATCGGATCGTAGATCGACGATGGCCATAAAGCGACTCGATGAAATTGTTGTTCCTAAGACGACTACATAAGTCGTTCGACAAGAAAGGGCCACATCGAGTACGATCGATCTTTATTTAATGCCGTTACGAGATATTAACGTTGAAGATATCTTATTAGAAAGTATTCTTCTTTTAATTTTCTTCTATTTTTCTCTTCCTCTTTGTTTCTTTTTTTTTTATATACAGTATACACAAACACACACACACACACACATCCAGAGACACGCGTAGACTAGCGTACGTAACGTAGAAACCGGTAAGTAACAGAGTATCGAGAGAGAGATATATAAGTTTTTTTGTTTTTTTTAAGTAATTTGTAGCACGAGCTGTGATTTAGATACATACATACTCAACGAGCGTGGACACGGCCGATTTTTGTCAATTGTGGTGGTTTTTAACTAGCGTGTCCCATCGTCTGTTATTCGTAGGAGAGTGAAAGCGAAACGTTCGACGCGCGATTTCGCAAAGAATTGCAATTCTTCCAACACTTTTAGAACCCGATCATTCCACGCGAACCCAATTCAAACCAATTCATCCATTTCACAAAAATTGACGAAACGTCGAACTGTTTAATTAGAATTCAGAATTCTAATGAATCTAATTAGAACTTTTCGAAGTAAATCTTTTGGAATCGTTTTGAAGTGCTGCTCGTGAGATTCACGAATTGAATTTTATTTTTTTTTTTATTTGAATTTTACTAGATGATTCGAAAATCTTTTTTCCATTAGAAATTTTCGAATAGCTTGAACAACTTATTAGGGTATACTAATGTTTGTGAACTAATGTCTGTGCAATTCTAGAATTGCATACACTTGAAAAGTGATTTTATTAAACGATAAAATTTGTAATTTATTTATTTATTAATTGTAAGACATTGTTCACAGTAATGTTTTCTTATTTTAATTGTTTGAAACCCAGTTTCATTATTTACTAGCCAAATCTTGGTAACTTTTATTTTAATAAATCTTGAACTAATTAATTTCACTTCAAACTAATTACCAAGTATTTAGCAAACTGCTTTTGACTTTCCAGTGAATTTCTCACGACGTTTGACCGTGGAATCGTGCAATCGAAGCAATTAGCCCATTAATCCACGATCTTATTCATCCGTGAGCGTGAATCTCGCGATTCTAACGCACTCTTTATTTCCTGTAAACTGTAAACCCTTATCGATTCTCCAAACGCTTCGTTTTATAATTTTATTCCAGAAACGGGGAAGAAGGCTGACTTTATTGATGCCACGTTTTATACTCCACTCGTAAACTTTGATTTCCAATTAGCATCGCGTCATTGAATGAGCCGGCGATACGTGAGAATCTTTTTTCCATGGAATCAGGACAAACCGAGTCAACCAGCTGAGAACTGGGACACAGGATGAACGGAAAGATATTATTTTCTTATCGTCTTTCTGAATTTTTATGGACGAAGTATGCTGAGAGGAATAATTTTTATATCTTGCTTTTGGCAGTCTTCAATTTTGCAAATTCTTTTTTTTTTTTCTTTTAGAAACAAAATGAAATTTAAATATTAATACCGAAGCCTAAAGCAATGATTTTCAACTAATAGAATTTCATTATCGAAAATTTGCTTCTTTTAGCTCCAGTCTACTGCAGAAATGCCAAGTTTGTCAGAAGAAATGTGGAATTATTGATTTAATGGAAACGCATTAGACGAGGCAGCGGTACTGCGAAAGATCATTCAAAAATGATAGTCGCGAGCGGTATTCGACGCGTAACGCGACGGGGAAAACGTATATAGGCGAAAAGGCGAAACGAGTGTTGCATCGCGGAGGTCAGAGCTTCGGAGAGAGCCTCAGGTTGTTACGAGCAGCGTCCAGGTAATTACAGGTTGCGATATTGCGTTACGTGCATGCATTACGCACCGGGCTCGCGAGAAAAACGATACGTCCCGCGGCGGACGATAAATTCTGCTCGAAAGTCTAGCTTGGATGTTTAGCTGCGACGTTTATCGCTCCTCGCCTCGTCCATCTGAACGTGTTATCCTGCTCGACGTGATAATCGTGTCGATACTAGATTTTTACATTTCTTACGACCTTATCGACTTCCCGCGGATAGGATTGCGCAAACTTGCAACGAATAAATGAAAATTTTTTAAATTATTGTTATTGCATTACGAGAAGAGCCTCTAAACATTAGGTAATTAAATATTTTTTATGAAGGACAGTCCCATATTGGACATATTTTAATATAAAATTATTTTATAAGTTTTACATAGCTTTTTCAAGACCTCGTCAATTCACGAAAAGAGTATCTTAAAATGAATTTTTATTTTCATCTACGGAGTCTTTTATTAATACCTACGTTATGCCGTGGCATAAAATATAGTATTTATTTTATATGCAAATTATCTCCTCAGATTCCAGTTTTATTGTACATATTTTCAAAAGCGGTTGTTTCTAGCGCAAAAGACGTCGGTCGCGCTATTTGCAGTTTCTTCTGCGGTTGCGGAAAACTGGTAGCACTTGCGGTTAAACGATTCGGAAAATACCGTGGGGTTATTCACGGCCGCTCTACTTGTGGTCGAGAAATTATCGCGTTTCGCGAACTTATATATTTCTTTAGCCTCGATCTTGACAAAGATCTTCATCAATTTTTCAATAATATTTTTGAAAAAAAATTCGACGATTTCAATAAGAAAAATTATATCCAGATACTTCTGATTCCTTCGAGGGAATCTATAAATTCTCCGAGTTTGAAAATTTCAATAATATTTGAGGTAGATTATGAAATGCAAATAGAGACGAATAAATATTTATCTTTGCTGATAACTCTGTTGGCAGTGAGGTGGAGTAAAACGCGGTGAGAAACTTCGTAACCGCAACTCGTACTAATTTTACGTGCAACCACAAAGTGTTATTTACCATAGGGTGTGTTATTCTATTCGTTTGTTCACATCTGGTGCTACAAAAACGAAACTTGGACACGAAGTTTCTCGGGTTTCAGCAACAGTAGTTTGTATTTAAAACAAAGCGCATGCATTTTTATCCCTTACAGAAATCGTCGAATCATTATCAAACCACTTATCACTACTTCGACTGTGTCTAACTCGTAATCACCGAGTAAGAAACAACTTTCATTCCCGCGAATCAGTTTTAATCTGATCCATATTTGTAAGTGGAACACCTGCGAATAACAGGAGCAAAGGGTTTATCACTAGACCAACTGCAAATAGGTATCAATTTTATCTAGAAGCCTAATGGAACAAGTCTGTACTATCGGTTATTGACAATTTACTGTTTTGTAATTCCATTGGTCGCGTTAGACAACGCTGTGATCTAGCAAAAGTAGAGCGAGATTGTAGAGAATTTTCAGAATTGTAACTCTGCTAACTCTGATTACTGCTTGTCTTCTTAAAAACGTTTGAAAATTACGGGAATAACGCTGGTTCGTACTCTGAGAGCGATGCTATCATATTCCACTGCTTATCGTTTCATCGGTAACAGTTTATCAGAGATAATACAGTTTGTACCAAAAAAAAGAATGTACAAACCAGGAAATCTTTACAACGAATGAAATTGAATCAAGTCTATTATTATTTTATACTTTGGGACTTTATAAACTTTATTTCTGAGCTGTCCTGGTTAATTTGTAATGTGTAATTTGTAAATGAACGGTTGTGTACATTAATTTTGAAACATCCTGTAGATGGAAAGATCGGAGCAACGTCTTAGACAATTTTCCATCGATCTTCCGGATAGAGTGGCGTTTCGTCGGTATCATTAGTCAGTTTCGCGAAGTGTATCGTGACAGCGGAGATTCTAGGATCGTTCGAGGAAACCGATAACGCGGCGCAAAAGATGCCGATCGATCGTTTAGATGTTAGCCCCGGTGCAGTTTTACCGTTTCTCATCGCGAAATATTATCAATAATGCTCTATCCGTCGTCGTTCGAACGATTCCAGTGGATAATGTCAAGGTAATTGCTGATGCTGCGATAAGCAACTGGCGCTCCCTTGAGCTCTTCCTTTCCATCGTTTCATGGTGAGAATTGCGCTCAAGATAAGGCACCCTGTTAATTAACCGAATCACGTGGCCTTACTTTTTATCCCTAATTGACTTTCACGCAGTACTTTCTTTCTTTTTTATCGTTCAGTTGAAGATGAAATCGTTTCAGTGAAAATTTTGACCGTTCCATTAGGCTCATTAGGCTTCAGGGGTTAATTGCAATTTTTGGCTGGAAAGAAAATTCTCATTAATTATTTTATTTGTTTGCAATTTTATACTTTGCTAGCAAATTTCCAAACACAATGAACATTTTTTTTTTTTTTTTTTCAATTTATAGACCGAATCAATATGTATACGTCTCGTTAACCAATTAACAAAAAAAGAAACGTATTCGTAGAGTTAGCATCGATAAAAAGAAAAGTGGACACCGATGGTTCGGTACAGTGCGAACGGTAGCTTACGTTAAACATTCCAAGCCCCTTTTACCCGGCTCGGTCGATTAGTCGCCGTTGCATTTATCGTTTCTCCTTCATCGAGTGTAACTGCAACGCATTATCGAGGGCCGATGTGGTAATTCGCTGAGTCCGATATTAATGACGCGTGGCCAATTTTAATGATGCCTAAAGTCGCGATGACGACTGCGTGAGACCATTGACGAGTCCGTTAGGTACCTGTCTATCTCGTTTCGATAAACCCTTTCTCGGTGAAGTTCAACGAAAGTTAATATTAAAAATTTTATAAATATTCAATTATAAAAATAAAAATTAATCAAGTGAAAAATACTCGATAGAATCGAATAGATTTAACAAAGCTCAAATTGAAAATACTCAAAGCAATTAAACGAGATTATCTTGCCACGGAAGTATTATTCGCGTATTGATCACATAATCGAGACGGTTCTTTTCTGAACGTTGCTAACAGATTTAGAAAAGCGAAAAAGTCTGTGTACAAGCAAAAAGAAACATATCGTTTTCTTGACGCAATTGATCTTGCGCGCCAAGAGGTAGTTCTAAGAAAGCCTGGACACGTCGACGCATAAATATTCTAATTAAGCACATAATTAGCGAACCAAGAGGCAGGGAATTATCGTAATCGCTTGGTAGTATTTTCATACGTTATCATGGTAACAATATCTTGTCCCGATATCTCTTTATCGCATTAATTAAGCTGAACCAGCCGGAACACACCTGTCTGAAAGTCAACGGGCACAATTCCACGACTCGATCTTTATACCGAGGCTAATTGACTCATTCTTAACTCATTGCTGCTGTACACGCGGCTCTCGTAATTGCAACTTTGTTCATTTCAATGAGAACCATCGAAATTTCATAATTATCTTGTAATTTAAAAAATTTCTTCTTAAATACAAAACAGTGGGTAAAAGTTCACAGGATAAATTTATAAAAATAATTAGAATTTTAAATATTTCTTGCCTGACTTAGTTCGGAATCTTTTTTTTTTTTTATGGTAGTTCTTAGAGTAATTAAGGTACTATTTTCAACCCGCATCGCGCTCTTTATCGTGATCTCCGAACACGGCACGAACTCGGGCTCTAATTATTCAGGAATGAAAAGCGTCCTCACGATCCGACTTATGACATTTGAAAGTGGATAAAACAAACTACAAAGGAACAGCCTATGCGCAATTCATTGATACCGTTCGATACGTATGTACAAGTAATTTCTTCTTTTACACTGTTCGAAATTGAAAGAGATGAAAATCGAAGCTCAAATTCAATCCTGCCTCTAATAATGATCCGATCAGAATCGGATGATGTTACGACTCACATCAGTTGAGAAGCAAAAGAACCGCTGCTCTAATTAATGGTCCAAGCGAAACGCGAAGAAAAAGTACACATCTCGGGATTTATTTACGACACAGGTACCGATAGTAAATCGGTTAATCGGCGTGTGCCCGTGATTAAGCACCGTTCCTCTTCTCTAAACCGTGTTAGGCTGAAAGCGTCCAGGTATCATCAAACTATACGCTTGTACGGCTCAATATGATGAGATCCGCCTAATAAGGGTTGCAACCGGTGTTTAGAGTGACCAACGACGCGGCTTTCACCAATTTAAACTCGGGAATTGCGACCCGCCCGGCTTCTAATCGACTATACACGCCGCGCCGCACCGGCAACGGTAATCGATCTCGACGATTTCGCCTACATCTACGTCGTTACTCGCCTCGACATGGAACGGGACGACGTTTAAAGTGGTCGCGATTCACTAACCGTTAATAACCTCTCTTTAATTGACTGGCTTCTTTAATTGTAACGGGAATCGATTTGTACGATCGGATTTCGAGTTCCATTTCACGATTCGTTGCACTGAACACACTCGAATTTTCGGGTCGACGGGTCAAGTTTAGACGGATGTTGGTAGATCTTGAAGATCGATTAAGATAAAAGAGAAAATTGTAATTTGAAAAATTATAGTGAATTCTTAATTGAGAGAATCAAGATCACGTGTTCAGTATTGGCCTTGAATAATTAGAACGAAATCATTTTTAGAAATTTCCAAGATGAGAAAAATAATTTTTGATCAAAGAATTCCATCGAATAAATAAAGTTCTCGGATGATCATAAAGCTTCCTGTTAGACAACGATCGAGTACGTTTTAACAGGATGCGAGTGGGTGTTGAAGAATCTTTCGTAGTGACAGATATCCACGGAAGATCATGAGCCGTGTGCTGAAATTCGAAGAAGTTGTGGCATCCGAGCGAAACTTGACGGAGATATATTCAACGACACGCTTAGCTCGGGATTTTTCATCGCCTTGGCATGTCGTTGTAGCGCGTTAACCTTCTGAAGGTAGAACGGAGGTGTGGCACACCCCCGTCCCTCCGTAAACACGAGCTTACGGAGATACAACAATGGTCCCCGCAGATGGAAGATTGCACGGAAAGGTGCAACGTTCACGTGCAAAGGTCGCCACGCTTGAATCGGATAAACGAGGATAATGTCGCGACCCAACTATCATAGATGGATTTTATTCACCGTAGAAAAAGATTTGATACGCATCTATGGATGATCCTTTACTCGAAAACGAGCTTCCATTATCATTTTAGAAACAATACTCACTTTATAGCTGTAATATTTTTCTGTTCAAGTGTCATTGTTTGGTAAGGACTGGACGATATTGAAGAAATTTAAGAATTTTATAAAAGGAATTTTTTAAGAAGAACTTCCTTTCAAAAGAAAATTGATTCTCACCGCCGCTAATTATTTATAAAAATAACTTCATCGTTATAACCCAAATTAATAACAAAGCGTTTGGAAAGTCGTCGTACCCATTTTGTTCACGTTGAATAATACTCAAGGTGTACCGTTGTATTATAAGGCAACAACCCCTTCCACTTACTCTATGCTGCGTTATTAATTTAACGTTACATCCCTTGTTTATAGATTTATACACATGAATATAAAAAAAAAAATATATATATATATATATATATATATATATATAGTATGTTATTATCTCACACTATTTCCTAGTTTGATACCACTTTAATATTAAAACGATTGCGATGAGCGTCAGTGTTGTTAAGACCTTTTGTTAAGGTGACGTGAACCCAATCCCAAGGTTACCATGGTAACGAGATATTTTCAACGAGATAAGTAAATAAATAAATAATGAAACGGATAAGTAAATACGAATAATACTCAACAGTCGTAGCATGATGCCTGGAGCAAAAGCGACGGGTCAAAACTTGCGCTGAAACAAGTAAGAAAAATGATTTCTTTTAAACGTCGATTAAATAAAGATTATTAATAATTAAAAGGAAAATAAAGGTTTAAAAGAGTCTCGACTATGTATATAGGAAACGTACATGTTGGCCTATCCAGTACAAAAAAAACCAGATCGTTATAATATTAATAAGATCACCGATTATTGTGTTGTGTGAATAATTACATTTTAATGTTGTTAACGATTTCGTAATATATATATATGTATACACATGTTTCTATACATATACAAAATACACGGATTTATATATATATGTATACGGATACATACATATAGAGATACGTATACATATAAATGTTAACACAGCTCTTTATTTTTTTCCTTTCTATCTTCTCTCTTGTTCCGTCTCGTTTCACTCTCTTCTTACCCTTTTTTACTTTCTTTGCTCTCGCCATGCAGCTGAAGAAGACTACTTGTAGAGGATCGTTTTTGTTTTGTACTTAAAGCGTTCTCGTACGCGACCGAACTATGTTTTGTACCACGTGAAGAATGGCAATAAAGTAGTTGACCAATTCCTTTTTTTTTAATACCAGCTGTGTAGATGTGTTCTTCGTTCCTTTATTCTTATCCAGGCATCCTGTATTTCCGGACAAATTCTTTGTATATTTTAATTATATATCAAATTAGTCACCGAGTTGGTCGTAGGGTTCATTTTGGAAGTTTGCATCTTCTGATTCGAATTGCAATTTTTGTGCCAGAAATGTTAGTGAAACGTTTATGTAGTAATTATCTTCGAACTTTAAGCTTTAAATTGATGTATCATAAGTGCTATTTTAAAACACTTTTATGTCATGAAATTCTACTAGACTTCGCACGAGAAATAAGATCACTCCAAGTTTTCATAAAAAATATATAAATTTTATTAATTTTCCATGAGTACCAGTAAATCTGATATAATTAAAAAAGCACATATAAATCTTATATATATAAAGCACAAAAATACAAAGGTTTCAATTTTTCTATATAAAGTCTATAGGTCGCACATTTTAGCTTCGGGGTCCCTGACACCCCAGATGATATGTAGGTGTGCAGAATCACCGGTACTTCGGGGTCCCTGACACCCCAAGATGATATCAGGTCGGTATCCATAGAGCGCAATTGATGCATCGGGGTCCCTGACACCCCGGTGCCATAATGTCGATATGAAAAAAGTATCTTGGGGGTCCCTGACACCCCAAGATGATATCAGGTCGGTATCCAGAGAGCACTATCAATGCATTGGGGTCCCTGACACCCCGGATGCTATAATGTCGATATGCAGAGTATCTTCGGGGTCCATAACACCCCTAGCCATCGAACATTGTGCCATCTATGTAAGAACGGCGCAAACTATTCGTTAACTTACCGACTGTCGAAGTTCAGTTGATAAGTCGGTAATTTATTGAGTAGTTTCCGCCGCTTTTGTATAGATGGCGCAGTTTGATCAAACTTAAAAAATAGTTAATTTTAGGCGGTCTTTTCAAAATATAAGTTTGTCAAATAAGTATTCTAATAATTTTTCAGTCTTGCCGGGTATTGGGGATCAGAAATCTTTGTTCATCTGTGACATTTTTGAAAATAATTTATTCATCAAAATGAACAAGTAGATCTTGTGTAGCAGGTTGTCGATGACGATACGAGCGCAGATAGATTCGTAGAAATGATCGAGTGACACATAGTTGATTAGATACTTTACGTGTTCACGTAGTGTACAATATAGTTATGTTTACATTTTCATTTCAGTGCAAATTCCTTAAATTAAATAGACAAATGCGCCCCAGTCATCGCGCATCCGCGTTAAGTAATTTCATTATAGAGCTCAGTAAAAAATATTTCTCGCATTTTCTGGTCAATTTATAATTACAGTAACTTTTTTTTCTATATTTCAAGCTTCCGTTTGCAACTTTTCAAATGATTTTGACCCCTTTGTAAAATTTAGGGGATGAAACTTCTGCATTCTCATCGGCTTCAATATTAATTCGTGTTAATTTAATCATTGTAATTACTATAATACTAGCATGTCGAATTAGGAATTTTTCCAAGTATTTTTCTGTAATCTGAAATAAGTAGACAGCCACCTGTCCCATAAATCAATGCCCGAAACGTCATAAACATTATTACACGAATTTCAATTAATTGTTTAATGAGAAGGTTTTCTCTTATCACACGAAATGGACAGTATTGTCGAAGCACGAGTCTTATCAAAGGACATTAAATGTTTCATAGGAATACACGAAGATATTCAATATCCAAGAGGAAACGCCACCAAGTGAATATCTATTTGAAAGCGTGTGCTGCTTATTCATCACGGATTCGAGGTGCGAAAATAGGTTGCAACGCCAAACATTAAAAATTACGTATCAACGATATATTATTATACGTTATAAAAATCGCTATAGTGCAAATAAGTTCGATAAAATAAGAAAATCAATTGCCATCTTCTAGAGTAACATGATCCTGATTATGAATGCAATTGAACACCTCCTCCAAAACTCTTGCAATGCTGAAAAGCCTCTCAACAAAAGAAAGGAAAAAAAATTACCAAATCCTGGGAAAGAAAATTCATAAGCACACAAATACGTACAAAAAATAAGGTCAACAAAATTTCTTCTCTCGCGTCAGATTTCATCAATCATTAAAAGATAATCACAAACGAGAAAATTGATAGAAAAAGATGCTAGAATCTCGTTAAAAAAAAAGAAAACTCATCATAATAATTAATAACACAAAGAAGCGTATTTTCGTCTCGACATTCTCATGTATCTAAGAAGACATTTAAAAGATCATTCGAATCGTTGCAGAATGTTAATCGAGTCTCGAAAAAGCTCTATTTACCCCGTCACTCTTTACTGTTTAAAAAAACAGTGTTTTTTTAATAATATATGATCGATCGTACGCGAATATCGCTTTTAGCCCTGATTAATAGCAATGCGTTAGAAAGTGATAGCAAGTAGCGTAGGGCGAAACAACGACGGCATCGTGGATCGACTTCGGCATGTTACGGATAGAAGAGGCGGAAATCGATGTAAGTTGAAGGGCCAACTCTAAGACAAGAGCTTGTCTTCAGGAATGGTAGGGCTAGTCGCTGAAGGCGCCGCTGACGCGCGTCTCGCCGCTTCGGACTCTCGCAGAGCATCGTCGAAACTCTGCATGGAACTGGATCTTGAAGGCACAACCTTTGTCTAAAACGAAATGAAAAATTACTATTAGATTTTCCTAAGGAAACTCTCGCTATATTACCGGTTAAGCAAATTCTCTAGGAAATAGCTACTTCTATATTGTAAATTCAAAGAGTTTACTAGACCTTACGATCTGTATTTGCCGATGAAAACACTGAGGTTTGACAGTTAATACCTTCATATTTTCATAAGCAGATCCGACTCGTTCCTCCAACGAACGGAAGCTGTCGGAGTTACGCATTTGACCCAGCTTCGAGGATAGACCGCTTCCGAATCCTCCAAGAATGCTGGTCGTCTTTTCAGCCGTAGTCTTGAAGACGGATTCTGTCTTCTGGAATCTGCAGGACGATCAAACGATGAATATTCACTTAAGTAGAATCTTCTCTTCTCTTCATGGTAAGGTCACGTTGTCCGTGGTCAGTGATGACACGCTCGGAGTTTGATAATGAATATTACAAATGATACTTCATGCATTGTTACTCACACATACGATTCGCTCGTAGATTAGTCATACCATTTTGCGTGTTGCACGAATGGCGTTATGTAAAGCTTATGAAATTGAAAATTATAAGATTTGTGATTAAATCTTTGATTATTATTTTGCTAAGCAATTAAATTTCTAAATGAAGCTCGCAGTAAAAAATTAATTAAGAATCAAGTGATTAATTTAGCGCTTCAATTTGATGTCTTATATTATCCATGACAACCAACGTGTTAATGTAATCGCAGAAGAAATGTTGGATCCTAAGGAAATCACAATTGTATGTGTACTTACAAAGTGTTTTCGGTGACTGCCTTGGTGAACTGACCGAGTTTCTCGCCGACGTTCTGATAACTGAATGAGAACCCAACCAAAAGTCAAAGAAAAGTGTTCTACATGTCTGAAGGGCAAAAGTAGCAGAAAAATAAACGAAAAGGGTGTAGGAGGATTGACAACCGTCACCTTACGCGAAATTATAATGTACAAAGTGAGTAATGCGCATTACTCACTAGTAACTTTCATATTTTTCTCTTAAAAATACTAATTCTAAAGAATGTTCCAATATCGAATGAAAAATCAAACGTTCAATGTATGTACATTCTACTTACGTCATGAAAAAGAGAAAATCGAGAACACTTATTTGTAAAGGTAAATTAAATTCGCGATAAATTTTTAATGAAATTATTATAGCAACCTCGATGTATCGCTAGCTGCAATAAGCTTTTGCAATCCCATAATCGTTCGCGACTGCCATTCGTCAATATACCTTGGAATCTAAGGTATCAACAGCATATCGTTAAATAGAATTTAATTAAACAATTTATTGAATTAAACTAGCGTTGCATTTTGAAATGAAATTTTTAAGAGGGTACACGTATCACCCCGAGGTTACTAACGATAAGAATAAGTGAAACTTGGGAATTCTTTAAAATATACAATGAAATAATTAAACGTTTATGATAAATGATTAAAATTGTGCTGTTGAAACCTTGTTTGTGTCATTCGTGCAAAATGAGGGTGAAAGATAAAAATTGAAGTGCGTGCTTTTGATAGTAAATAAAATACGTACACTTGGCTCTCCTTAACATTTTTCAACCCTTGATTCATATCGTCGGTGATCTCCTTCCAAACACTGATTCCAAGCTTTCTCTTAAGTTCCTGAGAAACTCTGATCTTGTTCGCCAGAACGTGCCTCAGGGTTTGTATCTCTTCTTCGACCTATGATATGCAATTTTCTCTTTTTACGGGTAAAGGAAGAGTAAGGGGATGATAATTAGAAGAATAAGAAGCTTTTTAATTTGCAAACATTTTCTCAGTTTGTAGATTTCTAAAGATAACTAAAGAAGTTAAGAATTATAATCGAAAGTTCAGCAAGATGAAAAAAGTATGGCAATTACAAACTTTGGCTAGTTCTGCGTTCCATTCCGCCTTTTGACGATCTTGTTCTTCTAAAGAAAGTCCTTCTAACTCGTTCACCACGTTATCCGAGGATGGTGAAATATATCCAGCTGAGTGAAGGCTGGCATCTTCCCCTAGAATGTAGAAAAATTAATTTAAGCTTCTTTTGAACAAAGGAAAATTCCTCTTTGCCCAATATCAACTTGTTCGAAGTTTCTTAAATACACATTTACATGTTTGAATATTCATTGAGCTTCCGGAAACTTTATCGTCTCGATGGCTTGTGTTACTTTCACACGTTTGTTGAACTTATAAAATATTTCAGGTTTAATATCGATCTTCTTCTTACAATGACTCAACCACCTTTACTTCCTTTCCTTTCTATTGATAAAAAATCGAATATATATTTTATTAACATTTATTAGATCCTATTAACCCTTCAAATTTTATCACTAAAAATTGATCAATTTTATATCGCTATTGTTAATCA